TCTCTCTCTCTCTCTCTCTCTCTCTCTCTCTCTCTCTCTCTCTCTCTCTCTCTCTATAACCTCCTAACATCATAATGGTACTAACATCCATCCCTCTCTTTATGTCCCATCTCCTCTTCTACCACCCTGCTTTCTCTCTCTCTCTCTACACATTTCCACTTCTTTCAACCCTGATGTACAACCTGCCCCGCTCTCTCTTCTGCATCCTCTTCCTCCTCCAGCGGGAGGTGCCTACTTCATGATCAGTCGCTCTCTGGGTCCAGAGTTTGGGGGGGCGGTGGGCCTGTGCTTCTACCTGGGCACCACCTTCGCTGGCGCCATGTACATCCTGGGAGCCATCGAGATCCTTCTGGTGGGTTTTTTCATCATCATCGTTACGATCTTCCTCCTTTTTGTTGAGAAACTTAAGGGATTAAATAAACCGATGGGAATCTGTTTTTGACCATTCAGGCATGTTAAACACCATGGCAGATCGAGATGCATATGGCAAAAATCAAATCAAAGTCTTTCCATCATCTCTCCTCTCCCTCCCTCCCTCCCCCAGATGTACATCGCACCTAAGGCGGCCATTTTTGAGTCCAAGCACCCTGAAGGCGAAGGTGCGGCCATGTTGAACAACATGCGGGTCTACGGCTCCATCTGCCTCCTCCTGATGTCCCTGCTGGTCTTCGTGGGCGTGAAGTACGTCAACAAACTGGCCTCCATCTTCCTGGCCTGCGTCATCGTCTCCATCGTCTCCATCTACGTCGGCGCGCTGGTCTCCGCCTTCAAACCGCCGCATTTCCCGTAAGTGTTGACAAAAGAGAGATCCGTCAACTCTGCGCGTTTTCTTTTTTTTGTTTTGACTGACCGATGGGCTTCCGTCTGCAGCGTGTGCATGCTGGGAAACAGAACTATCAGCGGACATGAAGTCGACAACGACCAATGTTCCAAAACCCTCCCGCTGAAGATTAAAGAGGAGGAAGTCGACAACTTCACAATATTTAATGGTGGGTACCATCAATAAGGAATCATCTCGTAATCACACACACTGGTTCAGGTTTTCTTTTGACGCACTGTATTCCTCCTTTTTAGAAAACAGCACCATGGTCCCGACGTTTGACCCCAGCCTGGACCCCCCTCTGCTGGAGAAGACCACATATCTGTGGAAGCAGTTTTGCCAGGGACCCGAAATCAACTCCTCCTGTGACGAGTACTTCCTCTCCAACAACTTCTCCCAGATCGAAGGGATCCCCGGTCTGGCCAGCGGGGTCATTTCAGGTAGAGTGTGTGTGTGAGTGTGACTGTATATATACATACTGTATATACAATAAATCCATCATGTGACTAACAAGCACACGTTGACTCTGGTCCTCCTAGAGAACCTGTGGAGCTCCTACCTCAGCAGAGGGGACGTGCTGGAGAAAGGCTCTGTCAGCTCCTCTCCCGACGCTCACCCGGCCTCGACTCACCAGCCCTACGTGTTCGCCGACATCACCACCTCCTTCACGCTGCTGGTGGGCATCTTCTTCCCCTCTGTCACAGGTACAGGCTGACTCCTTTTGGTTCTTTCTTACAGAAACATCTGGGATGTGTAAACATCCTGTTGCTAGAAGAACACAGTAGGTGTGATATTGATTCTTCTATTCTCGGATTTCTTTTTACTCACTCCGTACAATAGAATTAAACGGTTCAAAAAGTGTGTTAATGATCCCATTAATTGAGCTGATCCTCTTCTTCTCTTCCGCAGGAATCATGGCTGGTTCCAACCGGTCGGGGGATCTGAAAGACGCCCAGCGCTCGATCCCCATCGGGACCATTCTCGCCATCCTCACCACCTCCATCGTCTGTATCCTTTCACGTCATATTGGGAATACAGGAACAGTTTTCCAGAGAATGTGTGTTTTAAAAACTACCTGCTAAAGAAATACTAGCTTTTTCCCATTTTCCCGCGACTTTGTCTTTTCACGTTGCTGTTGAGTTATCTATTTCATTCTTTATGCCTCGTGACTTTAGCCAAATTAATTGCTCATTTCATAACGGCTCTATTTTGTCTAAAAGGCACTTATCGTAGGATGCATGTGATCTGATTTGATTCCACTGCTTGAGCGTCTCTTTTCCTGAGTGCTGTACATCCAGACCTGACCAGCGTGATCTTGTTTGGAGCCTGCATCGACGGGGTGGTCCTCAGAGACAAGTCAGTACAGCCGCTCTGCATTCATACATATATGTGTGTGTTACGTCCTGAGATACTTTTGAGTTTGATTCGTAATATTCGCGTTCTTTAAATGTGTGTTTGTGTGTTTGCCTCCTGCAGGTTTGGAGACTCCGTTAAAGGGAACCTGGTGGTGGGGACTCTGGCCTGGCCGACTCCCTGGATCATTGTGATTGGCTCGTTCTTCTCGACGTGTGGCGCGGGCCTCCAGTCGCTGACTGGCGCTCCTCGGCTCCTGCAAGCCATCGCGAAGGACAACATCATCCCCTTCCTCCGGGTTAGAGCTGCAAATACTCCATTTTCATTACAGGGAGCCAAAATGTACACAATATGTGTCTTAAATTGATTTTTGGGGGGTAACTTGTAACCCGTTTTCAGTCTGATTTGCTTGTTGCACTTGTGTGTGTGTGTGTGTGTGTGTGTATATTTAGTTTCCCTCTCTCTGCTTCTGTGTGCGTGTTTCTTCAGGTGTTTGGCCATGGGAAGGCTAACGGGGAGCCCACCTGGGCCCTGCTGCTGACAGCCCTGATAGCCGAGCTGGGGATCCTCATCGCCTCTCTGGACCTGGTGGCTCCCATCCTAACAATGTGAGACAGTGTGTGTGTGAGACAGTGTGTGAGACAGTGTGTGTGTGTGTGTGTGTGTGTGTGTGTGTGTGTGTGTGTGTGTGTGTGTGTGTGTGTATAGGCAGTAATTGGAACTTGTATCTTTCTCCCTCCGGGGCTTCGGTTCATTATTTGTTCTTTATTTAGGTTCTTCCTGATGTGTTATCTGTTTGTGAACCTGGCCTGTGGCCTCCAGACTCTCCTGAGGACTCCCAACTGGAGGCCGCGTTTCTCCTATTACCACTGGTACGAACACACACACACACACACACACTCACTCTCACACACTCTCTCTTTCTCACTCTTTCTCTCTCACTGTCTCTCTCTTTCTTGGTCTTTCTCTCTCTTACTCTCTTTGTCTCTCTTTCTCATGCTCTCTCTCGTGCTCTCTCACTCGCTCACATGCTCTCTCTCACTCTTTATCACTATTTCTCTCTCTCACTCTTTCTCTCCTTATCACTCTTTTTTTCTCTCTCACTCACTCTTTGTCACTCTTTCTCTCCTTCTCACTCTTTCTCGCTCTTTCTCTCTCACTCTCTCTTAGTCTCTCTTTCTCATGCTCTCTCTCACTCACTCACACACTCACTCTTTATCACTATTTCTCTCCTTCTCACTCTCTCTCTCCTCACTCTCTCTCACTCTTTCTTTCTCTCTCACTCACTCTTTGTCACTCTTTCTCTCTCTCTCTTTCTCTCTCTCACTGTCTCTTTCTCTCTCTCACTTTCTCTTTCTCTCTCACTCTCTCACACACACTGATCTGTGCCTCACTGATCTGTGCCTCTGGTGTGTCCAGGACCTTGTCGTTTTTGGGGATGACTATCTGCCTGGCGCTCATGTTCATATCCTCCTGGTACTACGCAATCGTTGCCATGGTGATCGCCGGCATGATCTACAAGTACATTGAGTACCACGGGTATGTTGCTATGGAGATGTACCCCCCCCATGATTGTGTGTGTGTGTGTGTGTGTGTGTGTGTGTGTGTGTGTGTGTGTGTGTGTGTGTGTGTGTGTGTGTGT